ACAGGCTCCCAGCCCCATATGGCTACTGAGAGCTTGAAGTGTGGCTAGTCTGACTTGAGATGGGCTGTAAGTGTGGACTTAATAATGAAAAAAAATTAAATATCTCATTAATATATTTGTGTATCGATCACATGTTGAGATGTAATCACTAATGTATTTTTTATATAGTAGGTTAAATAAAATAGATTATTAAAATTCATTTCATGTGTTTCCTTTTACTTTTTCAATGTGGCCAGCAGAAAATTTTTAATTTCCTATGTGGCTACATTATATTTCTGTTGGACAGTGCTGTGCTAGATATGTGGTGTCCATCTGGTCCTTCCTCCCCTCCTTATTTTTTTGATCCTGTTTCTCTTTGCCCTGGGGTCTCACCTTCCTCCGGTTGCCACCAGTGCTCGGATGAGTAAGAGGTGTCAGGCTAGTAGAAAAGCTAACCTTTTAACACTTCCTTCTTTGATTTACATTAGAGTTGGATACATGTGAGTCTGTCTTCTCTAAATTATAAACCTTTTGTGGGTCACAAAAGGCTGTCACATGGTCCTGTGACATGGGTGACCCTCCTAGGGTGGCTTGTGGGGAGAGGCGAGCTCCAGTCCTTTGATGGAATCACAACCAAATAGGGACATTTACAGTACTGCTTCGAGTGGTGTCCCTGATGATTGCAGCTGCTGGGTTTGTGTGCTGGGTTTGGGGCAGCCTTTTTCTTGTCCCCTGAATTCCCAGGAAAACTTTTCTCTGGCCATCCTTTCTTTGGATACCTTGATTAAGCAGCTACTTCTCTGTGCTCAATTTTATTCTCAATGTTACTCCTCTGATTTAGTCTAAAGCATTATTTCAAACCTGGAAGTGAACACCGACAGTTTCTTAAGCCCTCAGTCCCAGTGTTTGGGAGTAGGATGTTTTCTTGAGAACTGCCATCAGCCAGAAACCTCTTTTGTTGAGTCTTCTTAAAATGCATGTCTTTTTCCCCTCCTCAGGCTGGCGGTAGTGCTGCTTCCTCCCTACACTGCCCTTTGCAGGGGCTCAAGTGCTTGTTCAGTTTGTTAAACTGAACAGTTTGATCCTAGGCCCCTCCCTGGAGCTCTCTTTGATTTGCTTGTTACAGAATCTTACAGAGTTTGCTTTGTTTATTGCCTCTTCCTCCTCCTCCTAAGAGGCTGGTCCCCACAACAACAAAAACAAAACCCATTTAGAAGGGCTGATGGAGGGTTCTTGTTTTCTACCGAGTGTTTGAGGCTACAGTGACTTGGAGTGGAAGATCAGCCAGCTTCCTCTGCGTCTACAGCATCTGTCCCCTCCCCAGCCGGTTGGATGGCCTTTCCCTGAATGACTACTGTGCGCCAGGCACTCTGCAGCCCCTGAAGAATTACCTCTCTGCTTCCTGTGCTCACTGGAGGCCTAAGTGGCTGTAGGAGATAATGGAAAGCAGAGAAGGAAGCTAAGGAGAATTAATTGATTTTTTTCCTGTAAAATTTCTATCTTCTGGCTTTCTTGCTCTTTTAAAAATTACGCAGCTTTGCCAAATCAGATGAGTTCATTGTCTTCTTGCGGTTGAGAACAGAGCTTGAAATTCCTTCTGTGGACCAAGGGTTGTTAGAGAGAGAGCCTGATGCATAGAGTAAGTCAGCCTCCTGCCCAGAAGGGTGGCTTCCAGAAGACTCTGGATGATTATTTGCTCTTCCTGATGTTCTTCCCTTTCTTGTTAACCCTGGCATCACTGAGAGGGTCCTCTGGAACCTCTGCTCTTTGCCATGACTCTCCTGCTCTGATGTTTGACTGGGCAGCAGGGCAATATTTTTTTCTTGTGTTCCTGGTGTCTTAAAATGACCTTGCCTCCACCTACCCACCCCTTTTCGTTTTTACTTCTGCAGCCTCCTTACTTCCTTGGACCCGGGACAGCCTCTTTGCAATGCTGAGCCCGATGCATTTAGCTTGTCGCCTTTGTCTGACCGTCATAGGAAACATAAAATAAGTGCGTGCACTTAACCTTACCATGCTAGCATTGCTCTACTGTTGACTTACTCTAAGGCTCCCTCAAGCTCTGTCGGTCTTTGATCAGATTCAGCTTCTCTTGTAATTCTGCCCTCTCAAGACCCCTCAAAACTCCCTTTGTCCTTTGAACATAGTACAAACACCTGTTGCAGTCAAGGCCCTCTGCAAGATGGTTTCATTGCTTGTCACTTTTTTCTGGATTTTGTTGTATTATGCAACCTAGCTAACTAGGGCTGCTTGATATTATCTAGGCTTTACCTTTACTTTCCTATCTCTCTGCATTTGCTTAAACCTTCTTCTGATGAGATAAAGCTCCGCTTGAAATGCTGCCCCCTTCCTGAACCTCATCTACTCTATCCCGTGTAAGATGTGTTCTCTCCTGCATTGTGCTCCCTGTCTTGTGGCACTAATCATGTTCTTTGAGGTGTATTAGAATATCTGTTTGTGGAGTATCTTTGGAAGAATATGAAAGAAATGGGTGCAGTGCCTTCAAAGAGAGGAACTGAGTGACTCAGAGGCAGGAGAGGGTTTACATATCATGTGTATGTATTTCCTACGATTTTTTTTCCTTGTAAAATTATTATTTACATAACAAAGACCCACTCTAAAAAAACACTGAGGGGTACGCATATAACCTCAGAGAGGGGAAAATGTCCTTTAGACACAAAACCCAGAAGCCATAAAGAAAACAACTTTTAAAATATATGTGTATACTTGTCATATCCTTATTTGGCTCCAGGTACCTGAAGTGCTTATCTTTTTTAACCTTTTTCAGAGTGTAGCACAATGACCTCTACGTAATAATAAATACTAGTTGAATTGAAATGAAATGAAATTGCAAGTCACTTCATTGTAGACCTCATTCTTTTTCGCTGATCCAATGAGTGCTCGGTGGTCTCCAGGGTTCCTCGCAAAGATTCGTGCAGATGTGGGCTTTATGGGCAGGAATATCAGCAAAGCTGGAATGGCTTCAGAATGAGCCGTTCTTCCTCTGAGACCACCTTTCCCAGCGTGCTGGACCTGTGAGTGGGTCCTGCCTGCTTCACGGAGCTGCCCTGCAGTGCTCAGCTTTAATTATGCTTCGGAAATGCCCCAATTAGACACAGTGCTAGGAGAGCCTGGGATCTGTGGCAGGCTTGTTGCCCTGAACAAAAGAAGGAAAATGTAAAGAGTAAAGCCATTTGTAGAGGTTTCTTTGGAAATCCAGTTGGCCAGCTTCTTTGAACCAGTTGGCTAGAGTTGGAGGAGGCATCAGAAGGAGTGTGGTGGGTCTGTCCTCCTCCTGTTCAAGACTTTGGGTGAGGTGGGTGAGGTGGGTGGCGTGGGAAGAATCTGGAGAAGGCGTGTCCCTGGTTTATTTAGTCTCATCTGTTAGTTTCAGAGAACAGAGAAGCTGTCCACACCTCTCCTGTGGATCCCCGGGCCACCCACCCCGGCCTTGTCTTCTAGTGAATCTTTGCAAATGAGTCTTTTCTCCCCACCTCAGCAATAAGCCACTTGTAGGCAGGGAGCTATCAGCTCTTCTTTGACGTGACCACCCCCCACCCCCACGCCTGGCTGGCAGTCAGTTTGCTTACTAGCAGTTTGCAGGTTGAAGGGAAGTGGTATTTGGTGAGAGACTGTGAGGGCATCTGTGTGCGAGGGAGCGGTGGGCAGGCCAGTGAACAGGATGGGACACAGTCAGACTCCAGGTCTGTTAGAGGAAGTGGGGAAAAAAAAACCCAGAAAAACCAGCAGTTCTTATTTTCATACCGATGTTCTTGTGATAGTCAGGATAGGGGCAGGGTATCCGTCAGCAAAATCAGATGTACTTTGGAAACCTCTATCTTTTTTTTTTAAGCATTTAAAAAATATTTTTATTTATTTATTTGACAGAGAGCGATCACAAGTAGGCAGATAGGCTGGCAGAGAGGGGGAAGCAGGCTCTCTGCTGAGCATAGAGCCCAATGCGGGGCCTAATCCCAGGACCCTGAGATCATGACCTGAAGGCAGAGGCTTAACCCACTGAGCCACCCTGGCGCCCCCCCTTTATCTTTCTTGTATTAGTATGGCTTTTGGAAAGTTGAAGTTCATGGTACCCGGCCATCCTGCCTGCACATCTTCTCCCGCAGGCCAGCCTTCCAAACAGCACTTCCTTTTGTGCCCCTGCTGTGTCCCTCCTATTATAGCTAGGGACACCCCCCAATCCATTCTGTAGCATCTCTCCAGGATTGGAAGGGCAGGCCATGGCATCAGAGTCCCCTTCTTCTCCAGCTGCTCTGACAGAGTCGACTGGGTAGGTCTGCCCTTACACACTGCCTTATGCTTGGCTACAAGTCCTTCAGCTTCTGTGGGCCAGTGTGCTCATCCACAAAGGGTGTGATGATTCCCTTCTCCTGGAGCTGTCAGCATAAACAAGATGGGAGGGGAAGGTATTTCTAAAGCTAAGTAGTCCTCCCTGAACAAAACATGTGGCTTTTACTGTGGGACAGAGACAAGTGCTGGCAGTGACTCCTCCAGTCAGAAGGTGGGGGCTTGAGAGGGGGCCCAGGAATCCATCAGATATCCCCTCTCAGGCCATGAAGGCACATTTTTATCACACAGTGGACTCCTCGCTCGTATTGATGCTGGAAACAGGGGTAATGTGTCTCCTGCCCAGGCTGACCGTATTTTACCACCTTTCACTCTGATTCTTTGTGTGTCCCAGTAGGTTTTATCAAAACCATATTATGTGCTAGATCTCTGTGAGTTCACAACTTTGTCAGAGTCTGTCACTCCCTTATGGATGCAGTCCTCTCCAGGCACGTGCCAAGGGAAAGGGGCAATGTTGCAAGCAGCCAGACTTTCCCTTTGGCCAGCGTGCTTCCCTGTGTCCTTGGCAACCTGAATTTCCAGAGTTTGGCCAACAGCCTTTCCAAGGGAATGGCTCTTGGTTCCTCCTGTGGAACTATCCGGCTCACCGTCGTGGACGGGATTCCCACTGGAACACCCCAGCACTATAGCACCGTGCATTCTCTCTGTCTTTGCAGTGTGTTCGCTGCCCCCAGAGCCAGAGAATGGTGGCTACATCTGCCACCCCCGGCCTTGCAGAGACCCCCTGAACGCGGGCAGCGTCATTGAGTACCTGTGTGCCGAAGGCTACATGTTGAAAGGCGACTACAAGTACCTGACCTGTAAGAATGGAGAGTGGAAGCCAGCCATGGAGATCAGCTGCCGCCTCAATGAGGGTCAGTCTGGCAGATGGGAAGGGGGGCTGCTGGGGTTCTGCTTCCTGTAAACTGACAGGCAGCGGTGCCCACTTCCTCCAGAGCACCTGTGCCATGGGGCAGTATAGCTCCTTTGATGCCCTGCGGCCTCCCTTCCTTGGGATTTCATGTCTTTGTGCAGGACATCTGGGGTTGCTGGTGTGTGTCCTGCTGCATTTCAGCTGAGCCACCGAGGGGCTCTGAGCTTTACTGAGGCATCTGTTCTGCTGTGTGAAGTCCCTTTGATGCTCAGCATCTCCTGTTCACCCAGCCAAGTGCTGGTGACCTTTGACCATGTTCTGCTAACACCTTCTGGAGTGTCTCTTTTATATTATTTTACTTTGAATGGAAATGGACTGTTTTGTTATAGAGCTACAGTCCAGCTGGACAGAAGGCCTCTCCCCCTCCTGCCTCCGCCTGTCGTGCATGACAGGAAACTCCAGCTGCCTTCAGGAAAGCGTGTCAGACAGCCATCTTTGTGCTTCACACTCGGGCCCCAAGACCATGACACCCCAGAGAAGGCTGGGGACCAGCCTGAGATTTACAGCCGAAGTCACAGGATCTTAGAACAGGGGGTTATACAGCCCCGCTCTTACTAGTTTTCCTGCCACGTGCGGGAAACATGGGCGGGACCTCAGACTGTGGAAGGCCGGGGACATGGAAGTGGTAGATGTCCACCAGCCTGATGGTCCTGAGGACAGCCTCAGAAGGGGTTCATAAAGGCCAGATCTCGGGGGGTTGGGGAAGTTAGGCGTGAGATGGCCCACACAGGTCTGAAGTGAATTTTAAAGATTTTATTTATTTGAGAGAGAATGAGTGAGAGAGAGCATGAGAGAGGAGAAGGTCGGAGGGAGAAGCAGACTCCCCAAGGAACTGGGAGCCCAGTGCGGGACTCGATCCTGGAAGTCTGGGATCATGACCTGAGCCGAAGGCAGTCGCTCAACCAACTGAGCCACCCAGGCGCCCCTGAAGTGAATTTTAGATTTAGAAACAGGATGGGGAAATGGCCCCTTTCCTTGTATGTAAACACTGTTCCGCATGTCAACTTCTAAAGTGGCCCGAGCTGTGGTACCAGGCAGGGGACCTTGGATGAGGTCAGCTGTGGGAATTTTGTGTTCTGGGCCTGGGTATAACATACTCCTGACGATGGTTTATTTCTGTAGACAAAGATGCCCACACGTCCCTGGGGGTCCCCACACTGTCCATAGTGGCTTCCACTGCCAGCTCCGTGGCGCTCATTCTCCTCCTCGTGGTGCTGTTTGTGCTGCTGCAGCCGAAGCTGAAGTCGTTCCATCACAGCAGGTGAGCCCTTGTGGGGTGGGGTCAGGGGGAGGCGAGTCACGGAGTCTGGCCTCTGACTGCACAGTGGTGCTCTCGAGACCAGCAGCCTCTTCTGCCATATGTGCCCTGGGAAAGGGGACGCCCTCCTGTGCGTTCGACTCCTGGATGTGGCTGGCCCTGTGCTTATCACTTTGCCCGCATTAGATTTATCCTCACAGGAACATTGTAGATCAGGAAGCTGAGGCACAGAGAGGTTAAGTCAAGGTCATCCCTCTAGATGATGACCGCCTGGAGAGTTAAATATGTCCAATCCCTGAACCACGTCATTTGCCCTGCATTGGTGGTTCTCAAAGTGTGGTTCCAGTGGCATTGGCATCACATGGGGACGTATTAGGCATGGAGATTTTCAGGCCCCACCCCAGACCAACTGAATGAGAAACTCGGGCTGAGACCTAGTAACTGAGTTTCTTAAGCGCTGCAGGTGATTCTGATGTGGACTCATGTTTGCGAGCCACTGCCCTGTCCCTCTAGTTCCTAATCCTGCCTGCACATAGGGGCATCTGCTGGGAGTTAAACACAAATACCAACACCTGGGCCCCTACCCCCAGACATTCTGATTAATTTGGTTTGGAGTGGGAGCCTGGCATTAGTGTTTTTTTGCTTTTTTGTTTTTTTTTTTAAACTTCCCCAGTGGTCCTAACATGCAGCTAGGATTGGGAATCACTGCACAATACTGCACTAGAAATGGGGGAGTTTTGCCTGCTTTGTTACTTTTCTTCTTCCATGAGTGCATTAGCCACAAGTCATCCTAGACTAGGTAGATGAGATGGCGGCTGGGTGGCAGATGGTCAGGGGCTGACCCTGTGTGTATCCCTTAGGAGGGACTCCTCTCCAGGGCTGTCCTGGCCTCAGGGGTTGCCTGGCGTGGCCCGGCAGCCCCTCTTTCCCCTGAGACTGGTTTGTGTGCGCTCACAGCCGTTCCTCAGGCACTTTCGCCATCCACAGGCCCAGAGGAGCAAACAAAATGGTTTTAAATAAAATGCTTCCTGGTCTGGAATTTACAGGCCAGGTCCAGGCTAAGTCCTGATGTTCTAGGTGTGATTTTTCTTTCTCCTTTTTATGTTTTGTTTGGGGGAGCAGGTTGCAGCTATTTTTTTTTTTTTTCAAGAGTTTATTTGTTTATTTGAGAGAGACAGAGATTGAGAGAACAGGTAGGGGGAGGGGCAGGGGAAGAAGCAGGCTGTCCGCAGAGCTGGGAGCCTGATTTAGGGCTCAATCCCAGGACCCTGGGAACAGGAGCGGAAGGCCTCAGTTTAGCCTTAACCCATTGAGCCCCCAGGCACCCTGCAGCTAACAACCCTGCAGGTTGTTAAACAATTAGTAAAATAAAGAGGATCTGGAGGGGACTGTTTACTTGAAAGAATCAGGTATTTCCACATAAAGTCAAGCTGATCTGCTGGTCAAGTCATTCAAATTAGGGAGTATTTTCCTCCTGTAGTTATCTGGTAAGTGTGTTAAAAGTAATGGGCTGATTTTTCCTGACTTGAGTAGAAGAATGATTTGGTTTTTAATAGGGACTCTGTTTAAATTTTGTGCTGTTGTGTACACACACTAGGTTTTTTGTTTTGTTTTGTTTTGTTTTTTTAAGATTTTATTTATTTATTTGAGAGAGAGACAGTGAGAGAAAGCATGAGCAAGGAGAAGGTCAGAGAGAGAAGCAGACTCCTCGTGGAGCTAGGAGCCCGATGCGGGACTCGATCCCGGGACTCCAGGATCATGACCTGAGCCGAAGGCAGTCGTCCAACCAACTGAGCCACCCAGGCGTCCCACACACACTAGGTTTTAAGCAAACAAACAAAAAGCATATAAGTAACAGGAGTTAAGCACATAGCAGAATGCACACTGCTTTTTCTGCCCCCTTGCCATTAGTTTCCCTTCCTTCCAGAAACCTCCATGCATTTCTGAGTACCACTTCTGTCATCCTCACAGTGTCTGCGCCATTTGAATTGGGTGCCACAGATTTTGTTTGCAGGTACAGATGAGGAAATCCAGAGCTAATAATAACAGTCCAGCCTTTTACCTTCTGTTTCTCTGACATAGTGAACTGAGAAGGACACGCATCACAGATGACTCAGTGTTCCAGGCAAACACTGACTTGGGATCTCCATCCCAAGGAAACAGTTCAGTCCAGATTGTGGAACATTCTAGGAGAAACCAGCCTGGACCCTACAAAAAGTGTCAGTGTCATGAAAGAAACTCTAGAAGAAAGGAGATGAAATAGGACTAACTGCAATGCATGATCCATAATTGGATCCTCAAAAAGAACAGACAAGACAGCAGCTGAAACATCTCTTTTGGGATAGTTAGAAAAATGTGTATTACAGTCTTGGACCGTTGTTCAATTTCAGGGCTGTAATGATGGTGCAGTTACATAGGAGATGTTCTTGGGAGGACTGTGCCAAATAATGTTTTATGAGCAAAAAAATAACATACTTTCAAAATATCGGGGGTGGGGGGATGGGGTGGAAAGTGTGTGTGTATTAAAAAGTGATCCCAAGAAAGTGAATAAATCTCATACACATCAAGCTGAATAAAAGAAGCCAGACACATGTGCACGTGTACCTGTACACATGTACACACACATTCATCATATGTCCCACTCACATCAAGATCGAAAATATGCAGAACTTAGTTGCGGTTTTGAAGGGTTCATGTTTAGGCAGTAAAACTATTGAGATAGAAAGCAAAGGAATGATTTTCGTGAAAGTTAGGATGGTGATTAATTTCTGCGTGAGGAGGTAGGAGATCAGAGGGACAGTGGGAACAAGGGTGTCTGGGGATGCTGGCAGCATTCTCTGTCTTGACCTTAGTAGGGGTTATACTCCAGTTACCTCTGGGATAAAACAAGAAGCTATATATTTTTTCTATTTTTGTGTGTTGTTTGTGTTATAATTTACATACAATTAAGTTTTTTAAAAAAGGACAAAGTAACTGAGTCAAAAGAACAAAATTCCTTAGATTTCAACTCCAGTGTCTCACAGTGTTTCTTCTCTCTCCTTTTTTTAAAAACCGCTTTTTGGAGCTTTAATTCCCATGCCATAGAGTATATCCACTTCCAGTCTTCAGACAGTATATCTACAGATAAATGTGGGCATTGTGCTCTTACTTCTACAACTGTGCTGAATGATGGCGTTATTTTTAGGTCTCTAGATTCCTAGCTTCTGTGCAGGTCGAGAGGGCTGGGTACCTGTGCCCAGAGGGTAAGAACAGAGTCTCTGGGAGCAGACGGAACTGGATTCACATCCCAGCTTCCTCCCTTACCTGCTGTGTGACTGGGCAGGTTACTTGACTTCTCTGAGCCTCATCTGAACTCTTAGTGAATCTTTCCCCGACAGGGCTCAGGTGACGGTTCAGTGGGATAAAGCACTTATAGTATGCCTGGCACACTGTACGTGCTCAGAAATGGTTGGTGCTGTTGGTGCCGTGGCATCTAGTTATGTGTTTTAATTCTTCGTCTGTCTTTTCCTTTGGCTGCAGGCGCGACCAGGGAGTATCTGGCGACCAGGTGTCCATCATGGTGGATGGAGTCCAGGTTGCGCTCCCGTCCTATGAGGAAGCTGTGTACGGCAGTTCCGGTCACTGCGTGCCACCTGCTGACCCCAGGGTGCAGATCGTGCTGTCAGAAGGGTCTGGGCCCAGTGGGAGGAACGGGCCAAGGGAGCCGCAGTTGCAGGACCAGGGGGCCTGTTCCTCTGCCAGCGGAGAGGAGGAGGCCCCGGGCCAGTCTGGACTGTGTGAAGCCTGGGGTTCTCAAGGCTCTGAGACTGTGATGGTGCATCAGGCAACCACCTCTTCCTGGGTGGCTGGCTCAGGGAACAGCCGAGTGGCATACAAAGAAGCCCCAGATTCAGAGAACAGTGACATACAAAGCCTTTTATCCCTCACATCGGAGGACTACACAGATGGTAGGTGGTCTGCACTGAGCATGAATTAGGAGCTGCTTGGGGGCCTTGTGGGGAGTGAGGAAGGATTGTGAGCCTCTCTAATAATGGGGTACTGGGGGCAAAGGAAGCTAGTACTTGGGGGGCTAGCCTATAAAATAAGGTCTCACCCTCAGCTCCTGCTGGGGCTTTGGGCTCTGTATAGGAGACTTTTGACTGTTTGTGAATCTTGATAGTTTGGAGTTTCCAAAATTATTTGTGGCTACAGGACTGTGCTAAATCAAAGGGAGGACAGCTGGTTGGAGGCGGGAGCGGGGTCTGTTCTTCTGTTATAATTTCTATGTTCCTGAAAGGCTAGGAGTGGCAAGGAGGTATGGGGTCATATTACAGTGAAAATTGGAGCTGGTCTCTTCCAGGGCGTTCAGCAGTTTCATTTGAAACAGGAGTATGCCTCTCCTGCGTGATCGTTCTCCTGCCCTATCTCAGTTAAACCTCACAGGGATCATGACAAGTAGGTGTTACTACCATTCCTACTTTACCGATGAGGAAACTGAGGCCAGAACATACGTCACTTTCCCGTTGCTTCGTGACTGAGCTGGCATTTGAAGCCGGATGGATCTGGCTCTGAAGCCTGTGTTTATAACCCACAGTGCCATGCTGCCTCGCAGGTGACTTGGGCTTCTCTGTGGCGGGCCGTCTGTAGAGGGAAATTGCCACTTCCTGACCTTTTTTTGGAACCTGAAGGGTTGAATATCAGGATTGACTCCGTCACTTTAAACTATATCTTTACATGAAACCCCAGTGTGGTTCAGGATGAGGCCTAAACCTAGCTGTTTCCCTTTGGACAGGGCGGCTTCTGCACTAACCAGGCTCCTCTGAAAGCCGGCAAGGAAACTGCCCTGGGAGTCCTGGACCCAGTTAATGTCTCAGGCTTAGAGTATCTGAAAGCAAAGAAGTTGGAAATTCTTGAATGCAGATCATGTTTAGGAGTTTCCTGAAATCAGCAGCATGCCCTTTCTCTTGATGGGATAGAGAACTAAAGAAGGGGTTGCTAGACCTGACTCTAAAGGTGGAGGCCAGTGACCCCGTGGAGAGCCAGCTGTACACGTATCATGTGTCTGCGCTTATGGACGCCTGTCCCCAGCGTACTTCTCGGCCCTCACCTTTCCTCAGGAGCCTGGACAGGGCCTGCTCGTCTCCCTTCTTCTCCTTGCTGCCTCTCTTTGTTCCATTTATTGGACAAGCATTTTTGAGAACCCGTCTACACCGGTGCTAGTTAGGTTTCTGAGAGGATGGAAAGTCTTGTGAAACCTGCTGTCTGCCTGCATGGATGGTCAGTCTTTTGGAGAGATCAGGCCTATATTTGCGAAATAACGGAACCAAGAGTTTTAGTGCCCATGTCGGAGTGAGTGGCACATAGTTTATCCAGCTCGTTGCTGGTGGACTGAGCTGTCAGGGCCTGACGGCACCATAGGAAATCAGGACCTCGAGGCATTGGTGTAACCCAGTGGACATAAAAGGAGACCAAGACCCAGAGAGGGGAGTGAGTTACTCAGTATCACACAGCTGGTGGGTGGCCTGAAGGAGGAGGTGGGACCTGAGAAGGGGTCTGCAGCCTCATAGGGTGAGATTAAGGATAAAAAGAGAAGCAACTAGACCAGCAGAGTCAAGGCAGAGAGGAGGTCCAAGGTGGGGAGACCAGAGGGGACTGAATATTCAGATTTTGTCAAGCAGGTGTAGAGGGAGAGATGAACAAGGAAGGCCTGGAGAAAGGGCGAGGGGTTTAGAGTTGTTGGAAGGGTATGCATGAGGCTTTTTTTTCCTTAAATTTTTAAATTTATTTTAGGGAGAGAGAGAAAACATGAGTGGGGGGAGAGGCAGAGGAAGAGAGAGGGAGAGGGAAAGCAGCAGACTTGCCATTGAGTGCAGAGTCCCAGTGGGGCTCAGTCTCCTGACTCTGAGATCATGACCTGAGCAGAAATCAAGAGTTGGGAGACGTTTAACTGTCAGAGCCACTCAGACGCCCCTGAGTGAAGCTTTTTATGTCTTCAGACCAGGCCTGCATGGAGACCCTGAAGTCAGGTGTGCCGCCGAGAGCCCCAGGGCGGTAACTCCTGTGCTTTCCAATCTTTCTTCCTGCAGATATCCCACTGTTGAAAGAAGCATGAGCGCTGCCATGGGCCTCTCCTCTCTGCGACGGTCCTCTCTGCCCTTCGTCCCTCTCCCTGTGGGTTTGAGCACCCTGTACTCCAGCCACCCTACCCGGATACCTGAGCCGCCACCTGTGTATCTGTGTATCTCTGTATCTCTGAGGGCCTCCACGCCCACCTTGCTGGAAACTCAAGGAAGATTCTCGCCATCTGCCTGCTGGACAGCTGGAGAAGCTGGCATTTTGCCTAGCCCGGCCTTCCCATCTGTGTCGGGGACATATTTGAATGTGCTGGACAGAACTCTTCCTCTCCCTGAGCCCTCCGGATCCCCCGCAGCCAGCTCTTTGGCGGCAGACCCCACCAGCCCGCGCGGGCCTGAGAGCCGCTGTGTTTACTTGTGCCTTCCCCCACCCCCGACCCCTCCAGTCCCCCTGTCATGCAGGCTGGTTGCTTTCCTGCAAGCCTCAGTGGCTGCACTGCTGCCCTCTGCCGCACAGGGTGCCAGGCCTGGGGGTGGCCTGGCGCCGCTGCCCTTAGCAGGAGCAGATCCAAATGTGGCTCTGATTAGGGCGAGAATGTGGGTCCCTGGCCTGCCCTTGGTTGATAACTGGTGGCACATTTCTTTGGCTGAGGATGGAGGATATGGAAAATCATGCCAAAGCTCTCCCAGCACCCAGCCGTCCAGCTCAGAGGTGCTGGATCCTGGCCGTGCTGAGTTTCCAAGAAGCATGGAGAAGATGCTGAGGGAGGGAAGGAAGGTGGCTGAGAATGAGCGTCTTCCTAATATGCAAGTCCTCACTTCCTACTTCCAGCATCGGCCTTCCTGGCCTTGGTTTTCTCTGTTTCACTGGAGTGTAAGGGGAAGTGACCTGCTGCCTCCTGGGTTGGATCCTTGGCAGTCTCTGCCTCCTCGCTTCCCACAGGGGCCTGCGTGAATCATCGCTGGGACGGGAGAGTTGCTGAGGTGTTGCGGAATGCCCGCATGGCCACTGGCATTGGGGGCAGTTGCCCCGTTCTGGGTTCGTGGTGACGAAGGAAGCCTGAGAGGCACAGACCGAGTCTCCAGGCAGCTGCAGGCAGCTCTGCCCCAGGCCTGAGGGTCCTCGTCACCACAGTCACGTGCCTTAGTAACTGTGCCCAGGAAGCGTGCTGCTGCTTGCTGCACCGCTGCTTTTCCTAGTCGTGTTTCCCCTCCCACCCTTCCACGTGTCACAGCTAATGGATGACTCCCCGCTCTCCCCGTGCACCTGGAGAGGGGCTGACTGTTCTAGACACCCCGCCTTGCTGCTCTGCGGTGGGTGAAAGCTTGCCAGGCAGCCTGGCCCCAGGGCTCTGCCGCCGAAGGGGGTGGGCTCCGTGCTCCCTGATGCTTCTGCCGGGGGCCTCGCGCTCGGCCGCCTGTGGATGCTGACCAAGGCCAGGGTGGCAGAGCTCAGCCAGCTGCTGCCGTCTGCAGAAGATGTGGCGTGGAGGAGGGCTTGCTTCTGTTCGGTGTTTGAAGCGCTGGGGCTGAAACACTTGTCGCTGACCCCGCCTGCACCTCCGCTCGTCCCCGAGCCGCTCTGTTTGGGGTGGTGAAAACAATAAAGAACCCCTGTATTTTCAGTACCTGACAGAACAGGGTAGCTCCAGGCGTGAGCGGCCACAAAAATGAGGGGAACGGCCTCCTCTCGGCCTCCTGCATCCCTCTCACACGCACTTTACTACCCGCTCGTTCCCAGCCTCCTGGCACCACTGTAGTCTTCCTTCGCTCAGGGTAAGGGCAGTGCCTGCTGGGCCTGCGGGCACCCCCGCGTCTCTCCCCTTCCCCACCCAGGAGCCTTCACGTGCTGTGTGTAAAGCCCTGGCCGGCGTGGTTCCATCTGGAGCAGGTTGGCAGGGGTGCTGGGACGCAGGCCTCTGAGGGACCTGCAGAAGACCGGGGGCCTGTCCTTGGCCTCCAAAGAGGCCGTTTCCGGAGACGTGCCTGCCAGCGGGGGCTGGCACGGGGCCCATCTGGAGCGTGGGGTCCCTACGGACCCTAGTTGCCTCATCACACATGGGCTCTCCTTTACCCACAGGGGTGCCCTTGTCTTCCTCCAGAAAAGAAAGCAGGGACGAATGGTGGAGGGATCCAAAGTCTCACTGTTGGGCTCACAGCCAGAATAATGGTCTAGAATATTTTTTAAAATGGAAGCTCTTACCCGTTTTTATATCATTACTCTGGGTTTTCTTGCCTAAGAGATTGTGCTGTTTGTTTTGGGTTTGTTCAGCCACATGGGTGACCAGCTCAGCCCTTGCGGGGCGCGGGGCGTGGGGAAGGAAAGCCGCCTTTCCGCCTCGGCCGCCATTAACACCATCCTGGGGATCACAAGCCCGGACTTGCCCGCCTGGTAGGAAAGAAAGTCTGGATAAATGGGAAGTTCGTGTAAGCACTGTCCATCCACACACCCCCCACACCATTGGCTTTGCCCAGGCCTCGCATTCATCTTGCTCTTCTCTGAAGCAGTTGCTCAGCCGTCAGCCAGGTGCTGATGTTTCTAGGGCTTCCAGGCTTTGTGGATTAGGGATTCCACTGCTGCCTCAAAGTGGAGCCTGGCGGAAAAACAAGGGTGGTGGCAGGTGGCAGGCTGTTAGTGCGGAGGCTGCCAAAAGAGCCTAGAGTGGGTGGGAGAAACTGCCCGGGGCCTGGCTTTCCAGGGCTCACATCTAGGGGAGTCCAGCAAAGGGCTTGTCCAGGAGAATGGCCCACACCAAAGGACTAAACGTGTCTTTTTGCACACATGAGCTGACTCAGTGCAGGTTTTATATCCTAGTGACTTGCTGTCACAGGCCAGCGACTTTCAAGGGCCAGTATGTGGTGAAAATCACTTAAGATTTCCGTCCCTTTCAATGCCTTAGTTTAGTAGATAGGCTCTCTGTTTTGCCGTTTCTGAATTTTGTGTGCTGTGTTCCTGTTTCACTGGTGTGAACTGTGAAATGGGCTGAGTCCTAGCTACTTTGCAAGTTCTTTTGGCTTTGCAAGGCATTTCAATGTGCATTCTACTAACACTCCATTTGCAAATAGAACTTAAGCTCATGTTGTCTTCCCCATTCATCCTTTCCTCCTCCTCCTCCTCCTCTCCCCTTTCCCCGCAGCTTTCAAGTTCTGTGGAGAAGCCTGTTGGCAAGACAAAGGTAGACTTTTCCTGCTTCTTTAGTGCTGGCATAGGGATCCACAGGCACTCAGCCTCTCCCCTCCTAGTTTTGCCTGAGCTCTCAAAGCACCAGCTCGCCACACAGCAGTGTCTCTTCCACTCGCAGGGAACATTGTCACATAGAGAATGGGATATGCTGCAAACACTTCTACATCCTTGCCTTTCTTTCCTCCTCACAGAGAATAAAGGACCCAGAAGGGAAGTGGTACACAGGCTTTATAACTTAATTCCAGATGTGCTTGCTGAGGACAGTGATGCTGGGGGCTTCTCTCGGGGGTGCTGCTGGGGTCCCTGGCTCTCAGCAGAAGGCCAGTCATTACCGGTGCCCACGGAGGGGCTGGAAGAGATTTTGCTTGGCAGAAGCATGGACCGAGTGGTAGAGTAGCTGGTTCCCTGGACAGGGAAAGGCAGCAGGCTCAGCTTTGCTGGGAAGCAGCTCCTCTCAGTCTCCAGTTGAAAACCTAATCAAATTTTTGAATGCAAATCTCCAGGTTGAGGCTTCTGTCGGGCAGCAGAGCTAGCTGGAGGGCATGTAGGGGCCAAGCACTCAGATTGCCAGGCAGGAGGAGAGATGGACGCGGGTTGCATGGCAGCCCACCACACCCTGCCCTGGCTTCTTATCACACCACTATGGAATCCTTTGCAGAATGGTACTCCTATATAATGGTTTCAAACGACACGTGCATCATTGACTGTGCAGGATGTCACTCAATCAGTTTGGGTTTGCTTTATTTTATTTTATATATATATTTTTTGGTATCCTGTACATTGCAGTGGGTGTGAAGATAGTATTTTAATATTTGTACAAAGTTTAATTTAATTTTAATTGTTCTATGTATATAACTGCATTTCTAAATAATAATTAAAAAAAGGTTCTTATGAAGGCAGTTGTGAGAGATGTGATCCTTCCAGACAGTCTTTGCAGAAACCTGATATGGAAAAGAGAGTATGTGGGGAGAGCTCATGATGGGACGGCGCCCCAGCTCTAGGGAGGGGTCCCTAGCAAGAGGAGACGGGACAGGGAGTGCGCTGTTCAGGGAGGGAGAGCACAGGCCTTGCTGGAAACAGATTCCATGTCTCTTCAGACGACGTCCTCAGTGCCAGCCACTGTGCTGCGCTGGGACTCCGCGGAACCTGTGGCGGGAAGGCCGGCAGCTCCAACAGCGTGCCTCTGCGATGAGGGAAGCTATGCCCAGGCACAGTCAGGGAACATCCTTTAGATGGAAAGGGCCACACAGCCAGGCTAAGGGGCGGGACACCACACGTGCTTGTGGGTGCCAAGGCAGCAGAAAGCAGGTGCGGGGTTGGGGGTAGAAGAAAAAGAGTGGGGCCCAGGGCTGAGGGGAGAAGGGTGCAGAGGCTGGGGGTGGCCCAGGACCTTCGAGTGAGGAGTGGGGAGATTTGACTGTCTTCTGTGTGGCGGCAAGTGCTCTGACCGTGTTAAACAATGATTAGTGAGCTCCCCTTTTCTGGGGGGACACGCTCTCCATCTCCTAAGAGGAATGTCAGGGGGATGGATAATACTGTACCCAGAGACCACGTAAGAAGCTGTTGGTCTTGGGAGGAAGGCAGTGCGAGCAGCCGGCAACCCTTCTCTGAGACAGGGAGATGGAGGCATGGTCTGGGGAGGGAAAATGACTGGGAGATCCTAGGACCAGAGGGCAGAGCACGTGGAGGCGGAGAGGCCGACTGGATCAGAACAGCTACCACAGGTGGTAAGGGAGCGAGAAGAGGGAAGATGGGGAACTTGGGGATAAAAAATCAGGCCACTCTTGAATTGGCTCTGGGTTGGTAATTAATGGGCAGGATGTGTTTTTGTAATACTTAGCATCAGGTGGGAAAACGTTTTAGGAGCATCCGTGCCAAGTCTCCCCACTTAGTAGCCCCAGTCCTCAGGTCGGGTCCACACAAACATCACTGCCCTTTGCTGCAGGGAGGTGAAGGGAAGAGCATTTCACCAGCTTCTCAAAAGTCAGCGGTGATACTGGCAGATCTGTCCAGGCACTCACCCCGTACCAGGCAGAGCTCTGGCACCCTGTGTGTGTATCACTCAGCACTCCAACACCACCTATAATGAAACCGAGGCATAAAGAGGTGTATTAACCTGCCCGAGATGGGGCTGGGATTGAACTTGAACCCAGGTAGTTCTGCGGAAGTGATGCTCCCTTCCATGTGCCATCTCCCAGCCCCGCAGATGCTGCCTGCCTCCCAAGGTCCTCACCGCCCTCCCTCTGCCTTTCAGTCTCTGTTCCAACCAGGGAGCTGCAGGCACAGGAAAAACCAGTGTCCTGGCAGGGAAATCACACCATTCACTGGGGAACAAAGGACTCTAATC